CACTAGTTTTTAGCTAGTTATCTCTTCTATAAAATAACAACTTAACAGTCAACCCTCATTTAGCCGTGTAAAAAGATAGTACGCTGTGAGGTACTCTAAAACATGATCTGGGTTCAAATCCCGTTCAAAATTGAGAATTTGTTTTGAGTCTTTCAATGTGTAGCTGCATAAGTTGCTTGATATACTGCGAGGATCACCTCAACTTGATACATTACAACCGTAGTAYAAATATATATTTCATATACACTTGATTGCAGAAAGGTTGTAGTATACGTTTATACAAATATCTAATGAGATGCAAGATATCAAATGAGATGCAGAATTTAAAACATGCGTAAATACGACTGCTTAGCAACAGCATTTTGTGGAAAGTATTATTTTAATTTGAGTTTGTGCAATCGTGTGTCTCTGATACAATAGAAGATAAATAAGACTAAATAAGTTACTTTTTAAATCTTGCATCTCATTTGATATCTTGCATCTCATTAGATAAATGTATAAATGTATACTACAACCTTTTTGCAATCAAGTGTATATTCTTATCATACATCATCTGAAACTATAATGCGCGTTGACGTGAATAAACATAAGGCGTCTATACCCTATTACATCATATGGCACGCCATTTGTAACTTACTCTGGAACCAAGCGCGCGTTGACCTGAACTGAAAGATAAGGCTATACCCTATGGGACTTAGACCATGGCGCGCTATGAGAAACTTACTTTGAAACTATAACGCTTTTGGACGTGAATGAAAATTTATAGTATGTAAATTATCAGTAAGATTGAATGTGTGAATAGATATTGATTACGTAAGAGGATCATTCTGCCATGAAGGCAGAATAATATAAACTCCACTCAAGGTGAACTACAAACCTTTCCTGTTATAAATTACTTTTAAAACACTTGTATTCGTTGTCTGTAAATGTCATGTTAATACAATGAAATAACTGCTTTAACTTTACAGCACACAATAAAAGCCAAGCTATTGAAATTTTAGCTCTCGAAGATTATTTTTATTCTCATGCATCATTGTGTTCTATCAATCATTGGACCGTCCAGCAATGCAATCGCAGCGTAATAGACCTAGTCGCCTTCAAATATCAATTGCCCATTTCAAATCATGTGATGTTTGCAAACTTTAAAAAGATGGGTATTTTTCAAACCATAAAATGATGCGGTAAACGAAATATACAAAGTATCATGCAGCCTATTCAATCATCCTTTATTCTATTCTATTCTATACGGATTATGCCAAATATCATAGATATGGTCTTTGAACAGAGGTCACTCTTGTCACGCTAAACAGTGAGTAAACAAGCCAAAATAATATACGTTCTATAACGTTCCAAAATAATGGAACTTGGTCTTAAAAAAAACTCACATGTATTTACTATGCCATCCCAAACTTTAGTTGATGTAATGTTTTGGTACTATTTCGGTGTAATGGAATCACCAAGATATTGAAATGGCAAAAAACTAAATGAATAATTAAAATAAAATAAAATTCTGAAAAATTCAAATAAAAAGAGAATAAAATTTGAATATGTTATTTTGATCAGAGTTTGTACTGTGTTGTTTAACTGCCAATAAACATGTCAATCATCAATCATTTGCGAGTCATTTTTCTTCCGGTCGCACACACTATCCCTTACGTACCAAGCGCCAAATTCATATAACCACTGGAAGCCGGCGTGTCGTGTGCTATCTGGGTAAAGATGAAGCTTCCTCGTGGTAAGACAGTGTTCGTTATTACGGGCCTTGTAGCTTTAACAGGGATTATTCTACTGATTGTGGGAATAGTTATGGTAGCAAAAAGCAACAAGGCTAGTAAAAACTGCGCTGATTCTGGAGCAAGTGAGGGAACAGGATCCATAGCAAGGTGTAGCTACTCAGATGAAGCTGTTCGTTCAGGCCTCGATAAGTTCCTACAAGAAGTCCAAGATTCCTACTTCGAGATGCATCCTGAAGATGTGATGTATAAAGATGGTGTTACTGTAGATGAAGTGAAGAAGACATTCAAGCCTTACGATCCTTCTCCTCTGAACATCAAAAAGATCACTGACAAAGCTGCCGCTTTACTTGACAAACTCAACGCCAAAACAATCAACATCCTGAATCTCAAACCCAGAGAAAAGAAAGCTTTATTTCAAGTCAAACACTTTCTGAAATTYAATTACGCAGTGCCTTACGATGGGAACTATTATGCGGGAGATTTCTTGATGGGACCGAACCAGTTAGGCTCAGAAGGTACGAAGCAGTGCCTTACGATGGGAACTATTATGCGGGAGATTTCTTGATGGGACCGAACCAGTTTTGTTGGCAACCCATTTGTGGTATGGATACGCAGATGAGATACACATTACGTTATCACAAGCCTAAGGATCTGAATGATATCTCYATTTTGAGAGACAAGATGGCTGAATTCAACCAAACATTTGTTCAATACATGGAAAACCTTAAGTACGGAGTCAAGGCAGGAATGGTCCGAAGTACCGAGGAATGTAAAGCTGGTCTTAATGCAATAAAGAGAAAGTTCTTCCAGATTGCTCTCAAGGGGCCCAGAGGTACTGATAGCCTTATTAAATTATCCTTATAATTAACATTCGCAAATTTATAATTACTATTATGCATGAATTTGGGGATATTTATACCCACTCCTGCTGTTACGAGGCAACAGAGCTTGGACGGTGTATCTCTATATAAATCACAAATATATAAACAGCTATTGATTTTCGGGTTTTGCAAGCGAATTTGATTCAGACACCTAGAGCTTATTAGTGTTGAGTTTACGCGCTTGTCGTTCTAAAACGAAACGGATGGGAAAGCGACATTGTCTTGCATACTTGTATACTTGTCTACTGAAACTGTAATAGAGTGTACCGATTAGTTCTGTCCACGCTTAAGTGTATTTCTCGGGTGAAAATCACTCTAAATAAACTAGGCATTGGCTTACGTACATGGCTCAAAGTATTATGGTGGTCATACATCGTATTTAGTTGGAGCCATTGACCTTGTCTGGGTTCCAAAGAGTCTCTTGACTCTACTAACAAAGAGAAAATGCTACCAATCTCGACCACCGCAGTGAACAAGAATATAATTATCATCGCCTTTTCTAGCCAGTATTGAACAGCTTTTTTCTCAGACAAGAGAAAATGAACTAAGAGAAAGAATCCTCGTGCCCCATCATGTGCACACTTTGATGCTATTTTTAGAATCATTGATGCTATTTTTAACTCATTACCATGCCCACGCGATAATCATGCTGCCGTTAATGCCTCGTTTTAGGACACGAAAAGCGCTATATTTCGCTACGTCCACGACAAAAACACAGGCTTTGTTTATTACTGCAAGACTGGAAGCCGCCTACCCTCAAGAAATCGACCAATCAGGTTCTTCGCTCAAAATATCTACAAGCTAAAAATAGCATCAAACTGTGCACATGATGGTTACAATGCTATATAGGGGGATTCCTTCTCTTAGTTCATATTCTCTTGTCTCAGATGATAACGCTTAAGTATAAAGTCACTTCAGCCAATCACATCTTTCCACTTATCAAGCTCTACATCAACCATCATATTATTGTTTTAAAAAGATTTATTTCAAATTCCCAAACCGTTAAAACGATTGGTTAATTCTTTTATAGTATACGATTGCATTTTGTCAAAGTCACGTGACATTTGATTTACTCCCGTTCTATCGCCATTCAATTCAGGTGTATACGATGAGCCGGCTTTACAAACTGTACTGTCCGACCAGTTTCTCTCRTTGGTAATAAACAAGACAGAAGAGATGAATTCATGGAAAACGAAATATGGGAAATCGTACAATGAG